CTAGTTACTTCCACTTTATATGCGTAGTTTCCAGGAACCTGCATTGTTTGTCAGATGGCGCTCTCCACACAGCTCCGATGTCATGTAGCGGTGCATACACTGTAACGTTGATAGATATTTAGTTTTTTCAGCGCCTCATAAGTCCGTTATGGTAAATCACATTTATACATATATATCACAAATATGAACTCACCTGTCTGACAACTGTCTCCCTCCCACCCTGCAGCACAACCTCCACTGCTACAGACTCCAGTCATGACGTCACACACAGAACTTCCGTCTGCACAGTGACAGTTACTGGTACAGCCGGGTCCAAACTCTCCAGGGGTACAGGCTAAAGACAAAAATGTGGGCAATCATATTGCAATTGTTCTATACAGATATAATCCGTACTAGTCTGCGATGATGACTAAAAGACAGTTCTTAAAATGAAATGTTCATCATCAAATCGAAACAATTATAGACTGAACCATCTTTTCTTTGCTTTGATAAAACTATCGAAGCCTTATTTTTACCTTATTGCTTCTACATAGGAGGGTAGCTTTCTACCAGGCAAGAGTGCAAGAAATATAAAAAATATTTCCCTTCTCCACACGTTATGTATAAATGGAATGTCCCTTACCCTGATCACAGTACGTCTCTCCGAATCCTGCAGGACAGGTACAGGTGTAAATACCACTTCCTGACATGCCTGGCGTCAGGGTTCCTCCATTCTGACATGTGTTTAGGGAAGAGGCTGTGGAAATAAGAATATCAACAAAAAGTGAAACATATTGAAATTGAAGCATCCAATGTTTCTAAAACTTTTCACTATGTGTTTCCTTTCATCTATAACTATTTATGATATCCTGTAGATAGGAATAATTAATTTGACACTCACGTGGTGAAGTGCCCGGCCTGATCATCATAGTTGTTTTCCTCAAAGAATAATTGTAAGTTTTCCAGGATTTCCAGACGATACCGTTGGCACTAGTGCAGGAAGATGTAGTGGAGCACGTCGTGAAGTACCGTCCGTTCAACAAGGCCAGGCCACAACTTGTGGGATACCACCAACCACCTTGTCCAAAGTCAACTGCACAGCTACTGAAACCACCGTGGTCTGTTGTAGCAAACCCTCTACTGTTGATGCTGTGGCGTCCATTGTTACTAGTCGCAGTCAGGTCGTCATCTACATCGCTATCTGCTGACATGTACCCACTCAGTGTTGCTTGGTAGTCGCTGGTAGAATCTCCCACAGAAAACGTGCTGTAACGAGCGTGGCGCGAGTTTCCCTCCCAGTCTTCCAAATACACGTACAGTTCGTTCTGTGTCGGTGTGGTGATGGTGTGTAAGTGTTCAAGTCCTAACCATAACTCTCCATTTACGTCACCGAACCCCTGCACGTACACGTCCCAGGTGTTGTCGAACGGCACCGTCCCGTCCTGGCGCCGCTGTATGACCGTCCACCCACCGCCAGCAGTGTCCATGTCACAGGAGACTTGGAATGGATTAGGGTGGCCGACATAATAGGTACCGCTGGTCTGGACTCCCATGGCTGACAGATCGGCACAGTTCTGTGGCGTAATGGTACCTGGGGAAGATGTAATATGATTTTTAAGACAGTCATAGCACACGATAATCTATCAATAAGAATGTAAGGCAATGCATTGATAGTATAGCATTAAATTTTAGGTTCCAGAATACATAAAAAGTGTGGAATCAAAGTTAAAATGTGAAACAAATGATGACATTCTGTTCAAAATTCACAAGGTTCTCGTTAACATGCCTTGGCTACTGTTTCATGATACATTATGTGAACAGCTGCATACCTGTGTACGTGTCACAAGAGTCTCCCTCCCAGCCCGGATCACATGTACAGGTGAAGCCGTTTGCTTGGTTCGTGCACCATTGGTGGAGATGAACGCAGGGGTCGGGAATACAGAATTCTGTGGTCCAAAAGAAGAAGGTTTAGTGATATGTACAATCAAACAGTGACTCAAGCATCATGTATAGATTTTGAAAACTATCAGCCATTTGAAGTAGCATCCTCTACTTTTCACCAGTGGTGTAATTCATTAATCTCCAAGCAGATCTTTGGTGGGTACAAAGACAGTATCAACTTGGACAGTATCAATTTGGCAGACAGTATCTAATACGTCTGGGTGGCGGATATTAGTACTTTATTATTTGGATGTCCAAGCTTCATCGGTGGTTTTACCTTTAATATTATACTTATACATACTTATACTTAAGCTTATACTATATTAGATAAGTTGAACCTACCGTTCCGTTGGTAGTGATCAAATCTTGTGTTGGGATCCAGTGGTTGTCCGGCTGTGTTCTGGTTGTCTCTACTCAACATGCATCTGTTCGGCCGACTGTCCAGGTCAAAGGACAGACAAGACCCAACTAAGAGGCTCCCTTCTCCCAGCAGACACCGCAGTGCGCATGTCCGGGGATTCACAGTCGCAGGGCGGACAATAACGTCGTCATGGGCGCCTAGGGTCTGATCAGCGTGTTCTGCGAAGAAACCGACTATATCTGCAACACATAGGCGTTTGAATTAGTAAAAAAAAAATAACACAATTGCGTAATAAATGATATACATATATTGTGATGCGATTATTAGTTTTATTTACCAAAACGCTTTGAAGTATTTCCTGTGTATTATGACCATACCGAGCAAAGATAGGATCCACCAGTAATATGTAATGTTCGAAGCCGCTGCCTTTACACATTGCGGACCAACATTAATTTCACGTCAAACATGACCATCAAACATGTAGTGATGTTAAATATCCTTCCATGCACATATATTTGATGTCAAACTTTGATATAGCTCTCATTGTTATGTTGACAATGCACTCTCTGACCTTTCATCTCGTAATGGTCGTACTGACTGTGAGAATCGAGTGTCAGCCCAGCTGTGTCCTTGTTATCTCTACTCAGCTGACATCTCCCTCCCGAAACCTTCCTGTAGTCAAACGACAAACACTCCCCCTCCGGTACAGCAGTGGTTCCTTCCAGACACTTCTGGGCACATTCTTCAGGAGTGATCCCGGGGATCAGCTCGTCATCATGGGCAGCCAAGGCTTTGCTTTCATGGAGGTCAAACAGGTCTGTGAAATCTGAATGGAACTTGTTTCAGTATGCTATTAGTGTTACCTGTATCCCTGCAGTTAATGCTCAACAGTGATACATTTTTTGTAATGAATATAATACTATACTAAAACGTGTCTCTTCATATTTTGTATGGATTGATAGATTGATTGGTTGACAAATGGACAAATACGTGTACGGTGACATGTTGAAAGGTGTGTGATAAATCATGTTATTGTGATTTTTCCCATTCGGGCACCCTCATCGATCAGGCTTTTCTTTTCATCTGAATGGAGGGTGATCTTAAATCCTACAACCTTATAATTACGCTGCCCTAAGGCAGATAGCGAAATAAAGGGAAGTGTAAAGCTAAGTGTATCTCTGCAACAGCATTCTACCCGTACAGTACATCCACCACATTTATATCAATTTCTGGCTTAACATGAATCAAAGATACGTGCGTGTAATTCTGTGTCAATTACGCTTTCCACTCACCTGCTGAAATCTCTGTGAATGCAGTAATGATCAACAACATGAAAACTGCTCCTTTTAGGCATCGGTGAAGTTTGAGGTCATTTACTCCACATGACCTTCCCATGGTGATTTCAGGAGCCAAGATTACATCTATCCGCCGAAAAATACCAGGTTAAATACATGGAGGAAGTTTTGTTGCGCTGTTCCCCTAACTTTGGACTAACTTCCTTCTGTGGTCCGTGTGGTGCGCGTGCGCTTCGACACAGAGCAAACAGTGACGAGGTGAACTTCGTCAAATATTAACACAATCACCCACTTTGACATGAGTAAGCACCATGGGCCCCAATACTCCATATATGGAGAGGGCGGGAAATATAAAAAAAAGAAAATACACCCAAATGGAGTCACAAAATCAACTATACATGTATACGTACTAAGCTAGTTAGCATTTCAAACAATTAACATTGCAATGTAACAAGAAAAAATTTTGAACTGTTTGGGTACTTATATATGAGTATATTATGATTGGCATATGACCAAAATGGTGTGATCTTGTTTTCAAGTCAGAAAACAAAAGAAGCGGGTACCGGTGAATGGAGAAATTATATTGTTGTGAGCTTCGGCGCATTCTAAGCAAATCGTGTACGTGTAAAAGTGTTTACTGTGTAATTTTACTTTACCAAGCTAAGGGCACCAATAACGTAATTTATTTTGACGTGCTTTCTGAGCAGCAATGTGTATGGGCATTATTTCGCAGAAAATATCAACTTGGATACAGAAAATATTACCACCAAAAATAGCATTGCATATACATTGTACATTTCTTGGATATTCTAGTAGATAGATGTATTGAGTACAATCTCTACTCGTGGACATTATAACTTGCTTGCAAACATACATATTGATTCGTTTGTCGCACAATGTCACCCCAGCCAGAGTCGGTATCTCTATTATATGAGCGCGTGTATCACACAACACTTAAGATTTATTCAAACAAGACATTTAACAAACAATAGGTGCTTTAGGTGTTTTATTAAACCCCCATTAGCAACATACAAGACAGTAGTACAAAATCAAGTATGCAGCTATATAGAATTCGCTTAATGCATGTATATCAATTTAGGAAGAAACCTCATCCACGGCCTGAAGTTCATTAGATATGGAAATATTGGACGTGCAGAAAATACAGTACTCATTAACGACTTACTTGCGAAACAAAATCCTACCAAAGTACATTTACAATATAATTAAATATACATAAATTTGTAGTCGTACTATGAATGTATTATGATCAAGGCTCTTCAAAATTGTCAATCCAATGCAGGGCACACCTATATTCTACATACGCAGTCAAAGCATAAAAATACCAAAATCTGGTAGTTATTTTCCAAGGAGTGTGGAAGAAATTTGATATAAAACTCCACGTATGTGTTTCATTAGCAATTGTTATGTTACTCCTGTTATGTATGATAAAATATTCAAACTTCGAAGGAATATAAACTAGATGTGAAAGTTGACATCCAAGCAAATACATCTGTTGACCACACAAGTGTTGACCGCAGCATGGTTTCTTGGTTTCGACTTCATTCTTATTCATGAAGTAGTGAATCGTACGGCTGACGAGAACAAAAAGAGGTAGTTTAGTGCATATGAACAGAACAAAGTGCAGCATAGAAATATATATGTTAGTTTCAGATACTATTGATATATATGTTAGACTAGATGTGACACGGGTGGCATCCAAGCAAGTGTGGATATGTCGAAAAGAAGGTCAACATGTCGAAGCTTCATCTCCTTTAAGAATGGAAAGAAGCAGGCATAATACGACTCGCAGAGCACAGATATATATAAACAGACTGTTACCTTGTGTGCTTGAATGATCGTGTCCAGGTTGGTTTTCAGTTGAGGGAAGGTCGGCCTGTCTTCCGGCAGAGTCGTCCAGCAGTCTTCCATCAAGGCGAAGCTGTGCAGGTGTATTTGTGAAGTGTTTTGTTTACAAAGAAAAAGTTGTTCATGTTTAGCAATACTCGGTGATACAAGTGGTAGAATTTGTCTTAGTAATACCAACACATCTTATTTGAGATGTTGCTTAAGACATATTTACAGTTCATCTGGGCAGTACAGCGGCTTCTCCAGCCGGCCGCCATCTTTGATCATGTCCATCATCTGTTTACCCTTCATTCCTTCGTATGGCAGACTCCCTACACGAAAGGAGAAATATGTCATGTGTTAGTTAAAATCCAACACAAAGTTGTGATCTAAAGATTTCATATTGATATCAAAAATATAAAATATGCATACCCATGGTCATAATCTCCCACAGAAGAACACCAAACGACCATCTACAGAATACAAAACAAGTTAGAAAACTCTTAGCCTTCCATACTTGCACACTCTCACAAAATTTTGAATTATGAAATTTCCAAGCATAATTGAATATAGTTGGTTGAAAGTGATATTTTTTGTACATGTCTAAAATAGCTGTCACGCAAAATAATATATGTTAATCAGCATAATTTCTAGTACATTCCAAAAACTAAGAGATGGTTATTATAAGTGGTAAAATAATCCTTATACTCACACGTCACTCTGAGTTGTGTACACATTGTAGAATAGTGACTCATAGGCCATCCACCGCAACGGGAGCTTGGTCTGAGATAACAATACCACCATCATAACAATACCATGTAATTCAATCATCACATGAAGTTGTAGAACACTAGTACTTATGTCTAGTCAAAGATTGTAATACTTGAAGGGAGCTACATCACCCAAAGCCCTTATAATTACCTGTGTAGTCTTCACGTATTCTTCACTTTCATAAATGTCCCTGGACAGTCCAAAATCAGACACCTTGGCCACCAGGTTCTTTCCAAGTAGGATGTTCCTTGCTGCAAGGTCGCGGTGGACACACTGTGGTGAGGATTTCGTAACACAGGGTTGATTAAATCACATAAAGTTTTGTATTATCACTCAGGTGTTCCTATCATAAAAAGTTGCATGAAGGACATATGCTTTCAACGTGTGACGTTATCAATCATTATCATGTTTGCCAAGCAAAGCCATTCATGACAGTTACGATGTCTTCTGACTACCAAGTGAGTACAATGAGTGTTTTTTAAATGTGACATTTGACAAGACATGGTGATGACGGCACACTCAAGTGTATAACGTATTTTTGGGTCGCCACCGACATAGAAAACAATACATATGAGAGGACATAGAACACGCAAAGGAAAAGTAAATTAATGAATAAATTATAAACAAAGGATCAACGGATTCCATTGCATTCAATAAAAGACTAGTAGGGCTGTAAAAAATAAATATTACAATTTTTCATTACAAAAAACAGTATGACTGTTTGGATACGTTACCTGCACGGCTGCAAGGTGGCTCATTCCAGCTGCTACATTGATGCCGAACTGGATGAGCTGTTCAAGGTCAAGAACCGGAACAGGCTGATTTTGGTACTCCGAGTTGGCCTCAACAGAGTTAGTCTTCAGCCAGGCCTTCAGGCAGCCATTAGGGGCGTACTCAACAACTATCATCAAAGGTCCTAAAATATGGATGAAAATACGGATTTATCAGAAGACCATGGATATCTTTTGATCGAGTATCTATGTCTGTATTAGTCAACAGCTAATAGCTATTACATACGAAATAATGAGACTTTGATTAAAGTGAAACTAAGTATGATACACAACTTGAGAATACTGTAATAATACCTACCCCCTTTTGTGCACGCTCCAACCAGAGAGATGATGTTGTCATGACGACCTACAGTCACCAGGATCTCCAGCTCACCCAGCAGGTCTTTCTTGTCACTATCAGATGCAGAGTCTAACAAATTCAAACAGTATGTTCTGTAAATAATGATGGCATCAACAAAATATCAGGTAGCTACATACTTTTAGATAGATATTTCTGACTGTACAGAATGTTCAAAACCCAAAACAATGATCCTAAAGGCAACTTGTTAACTTTGCAAAGAAAGTGTATTTGTGAGAAAATCAGATGTTAGTTACCACTTGACAAATGATTTGACTGGACAAGAAGGCATTGTAAAGACCGGTTGATTTTACATACCTCTTAAAGTCTTGACAGCCACAGTGGTTGTCACTCGTCGGTTACGGATTTCTCCGAGACGAACCTCCCCGAACTGGCCCCTACCCAGCCGTCTGCCCAGCTTTAGACTGGACCGAGGGATTTCCCAAAAGTTCAGGGTCGAGATCGGTGAATCCGACGAAGCCTGTAACCGCAAACCAGACGTTGCAGCTTGTGTGGGAGAAGTGATGTAAATGAGAATGAAAACAGGAAAGCAAACAAAGAAACAATAGCAAAGCATACCTGTAGTATTTCTGAACTTTTGAGTTCCTGTAGCACAGCTTTAAGTCGTGCTCTGGGTCCAATCATAGGAACAAGGTCCTTCATCATTGCGTCATCAAGATGGCGCAGTGCCTTTCCGTCTACGCCGTTCTCTGTAAACCAAACATACATAGAAGTCAATATTGGCAGATTCACCAAAATTGCATTATTATGTATCCTGTCAGCAACTCTTATATATATTATGGATGTTCAATATACCTCACTAAATCTCTTACGACGTTGTCACATTACCAAACAAGAAATACTTCTATAAATTCTGCGTTTTATATTTTGTTTTACTTGTCAATTTGGAGACATATAGCTGATATCATAACAATGCTACCCATACCCCTAAATGCTCTTGCACACTCTTGGAGGTCATTGTCGATTAGAAACCTCTGTACGTCTTCAACTGTGGTGAGGTTTGATAGCCCAAATACCTGAGGAGAAAATGTGTAATTCAGTACAGAATGGGTCATGAACATAGATATGCATCTTTATTGATGAGTGAAAAAGTAGCTAGCCTGATTCAAAAGATTAGATTAAAAAGGCAAGTGTAATTGAAATCACACAGCTATAATATCCTAGGACGAGAAAATGCTTACAGATGTATCCCTGTCATTTTCTGGATCAAATGCCTCATTTGTAGCACCACCTGCCACTGGCTGATCAGCGATGTCTTTCAGTGGTACGTCTCTTTGTTTGGGAACGTTTTTATTCTTTCTTCTGCAAGTACAAGTTATTTGTCAACATGTATAGCCTTTCCGTTAGTATTTGGCCCACCACAACAGATAGACTAATCATATAAAGGAACTGTTATAATAATTCATTTTCAATAATTTAATGATTTGGTGTATGGCAAATCCTCGTGCCATATAAATCTGATCCGTCGTTGAAGGTTAGACATCCAGGTAATACGATACGCCAAAAATCAGTTACTCAAGCAACTGGATATGATTTTGAAAACGTCAGACGTTTCAGCTAGTATCCACTAGCTTTCGTCAGTGACTGAGAGACCAGAGGGGAAATGCAGGTTTAATCTGCAGG